CAATTTTTACAAACCAGCCATATATCAACAGTCTCTGTTAAGACATTAGGTAGCCTACATCACTCCATCTCATAGTCTATGAATTAAGTATAGTACAATATCAAATACTATTCCCCCACGTAAGTAATAGTTGTGAATACAGAGAATACAAGCACAATATAGATTAACGCAAGTGACAAGCAATCTACTTTTAACGAATTTCCTCTTCAGAAAAAAACATTACCTCGCACAAAATCCCGCCACCACATCCAACATCCAGAATTTTCAGTCCTTTTAAGGGAGTCGGCCCCTCTGCGTACTCTGGCTTGGCAATACCAGACTGTATTAGGCCATCACAGATCATAGACACTCTGTAACACAAAGAATTGGGTTAATAGGGAATGAAGGAAAGAGAAAGAAAGAGAGAGAAGGAGATATAGATATATAAAGGTATTTATGGATGGATGGATGGATATATGTATTAGCGTGAGTGAGTGAGTGAGTGAGTGAGTGAGTGAGTGAGTGAAGTGAGTGAGTGAGTGAGTGACGTGTGTGTCGTGTATGAGCTGTGTGTGAGATGTGTGTAGATTGAGTAGTGTGTGTGTGTGTGAAGTGTGTGTGTGTGTGTTGTTGTGTGTGTGTGTGAGTGTGTGTGTGTGTGTGTGTGTGTGTGTGTGTGTGTGTGTGTGTGTGTGTGTTGTGTGTGTGTGTGTTGTGTTGTGTGTGTGTGTGTGCTGTGAGTGTGAGTGTGTGTGGTGAGTGTGCGTGTGAGTGTGAGTGAGTGTGTGTGTGTGTGTGTGTGTGTGTGTGTGTGTGTGTGTGTGTGTGTGTGTGTGTGTGTGTGTGTGTGTGTGTGTGTGTGTGTGTGGTGTGTGTGTGTGTGTGTGTGTATGTGCGTGTGTGCGCACACCTATATCTATATCTACTATTACCAATGTAATATATATTATATATTATATATATATATATATATATATATATTATATATATATAATATATATAATATACATGCATATATATGCAGTGATGTCCATAACCCCTCATTCATACACTTTATCTAGAAATATAAAAACCCTGTACAACAAAAATCTAAACACCTATCTGTTGGATCTATATACCAGCCAATCTTATTAAGAAAAGAAGCTTTGATGGAGCCTTGGAAAATTATTTATAATTTCCAGATATGATATGGAACTGTCTTCTTAATCACTCAAATACCTTGGGTTTGCAAGAATATTAATCATATAACAAGAACTCAAACGACTAAGACTTGTGTGTGATCACTATAACAGTAAACAACAATAGCAAAAAAAAGGACACAGCAGGAGAATAAACTAATAACATATTTCTTTTTTAGCTCATAAAAACAACTGGAAACCAAAACTGTTGACCAACCTTAATTTATTCAGGGAATGGAGGGGCTTGCAGTCACCATGAGGGTCCCACCACGAGCTTGCCATTAGCCTAAACTTTGCCACCTCCTCTTCAACATATGTAGTTTCTTTGCCATTTTTGGCTGTGAAATCTGTGTTATCTTTTTGAATACTTTGTTCATGTTGTTGGAAACTTGACGTTGATGTAGAAACTTCTCTGGGTATACTGCTCCTGCAAAACATGTTTTTTTTATCAACCCCATGTCGCCTGGAAACTGTAGTGTTCACTGTAGTTTTGTTCTGTGAAATGTCTGTGGACATAGATAACTCCACAAGTGCTTAGCCACAAATGAGTCAATTAGTAGACATTGTGACCTCACCTGATTTCATTGTTCCTTGCTTTCTATGTGAAACCTTTTTTTTTTTACTAATGCTATCAACATCAATGCTGTTATCACTACAACTGTATTATACTTATTATAACATTACTGACATTATAACAGAAACAGAAGATAGTCTACCAGAAAATATTTCTGAAAATCAGGGCAAAAGGTAAAGAGGTGAGAAAGGTAGTACTCATAATTGGCTCATTGGTGACTTAGTACTTGTGGAGCCATCTGTGTAAAGATAATTAATAATCTAAACTCATAGAAGAGTTTGTCAACAAATATTACTAAGACTGAAAACTTACTGAACTTTTAAAATCAACTTTGCCTTCTATGGGTGATGTAAGGCTCTTCATTCTACATAGCTTACTTAACCAGACCAAAAATATGAATCACTTTATGGCAAAGCAGCAGCAATACACATGAAGTAGAAATGAAGTATATACTATGAATCCACTTTATTTCTTTACTGTTTTCTTTTTCCTATCCTATAAATACCCAAATCACTATGTAAGTTCAAGTACTATCATAATTTTCCTATATTCACTTTCATCACGAGAAAAAAAGGTTTTACACTGATTAATATTCACGACAATAACAAACATTAACTAAACTGATACCTTAAGGCTGCTTAAAAATCAGCCGAAATTTCCTTACCATTGTAATCTTTCTGCACACGCTGGAGTTCTGGAGATTAGTAACCTTTGTAGGCCTCTTGTGGCTAAGCTTGATGTGATTCTACCGAGCATCGTGAATTCTTAAATATACAGCCAATTTTATGTGGACACTGTAAGAGCAATAATAAGCATTATTATCTTTTTTTTCAAATTCAAACCATACCACTGCAGATCTCATCACAAGGTTCTTCTAGGCTTGCATAAT